CAGATTCACTCCCTTCTTTAATTAGATTTGGAATCCAATGATGCATCCTTGTTCTGTAGTTTATGTACGAGAATATTCTCTTGGGCTGCTTGAGTGCTGATTGTGCCAACTGCAATTCATATTTTCTTTGAGCTTCTCGAATTTTTGTTATACACTTGTTTCTTACCAATCTGTAGTGTTCCATCGTACCTGCTGTACCAAGGCGGATGGTGACATCCCGACATTTCTTCTTTTGTCTTAGTAAACGTCGAATATCCCTGCCTATCCAGGGATGTCCGTGTTTCTTCTTCTTTGGGACTGTCCATGGTATGTATGGTTGAGTTATCCGGTTGTATAACTGCCTGAAATGCGTCCATGCCTCTTGTACTGATGCTCTTGAGTCAATTTCCCAGTTTTCAGCCGATGCTGCGGAGTTGCTGGCCTCCATATCTGCCTTCCATATGTTAGGACGCGCCGGCGCAAATGTTTGACAGGCAATCTCAGCCACGAATTTGAATAAGATGACTGCATGGTCACTTTTACCTAGCGGTGGGAGGAAAGTCATTTGACCAACGTCATCACCGCGTGTGAAGACTAAATCTAAAAGAGAGGAGTTTCTTAAGGCATATCTTGTGGGAGTTCTAATATGTTGGAACAAAGCTAATGCAATCGATGTTTCTAACAGTTTGAAATCGAATGACGTTGGCGATGACCCGACTTCTAAGTTTACCCAGTTTATATATGGTGCGTTAAAGTCGCCTACTACAAGGCTCTTACCCTTGTTACACCAGGACTTAAGTTTACTTAGGAGAAAATCATCTACCACGCATTCTGGACTGCGATATACCACAACTAATTCAATGTCTTGCCGTCTACATATCACATGTTCCTGAAACATGTACCACTGTCTCAGCTACTCTTATAGTTAGGGTACTTTTCGTGTACAGGATAACCCCGCCTCCCCTACGATTTAATCTATCAGCCCTACTGGATAAAAAACCAGCTAAGTGAATTTCATTATCTAATATTTCCGGAGTTAATCAAGTTTCTGAGACAGCAATAACATCCGGTTTCTCTTTATCCACCATTGACTTAGGCTCCGTCATTTTATTTAGTAGGCTGCGAGCATTTGTGTAGCATACCTTTAAGTCTGTGGAGAACTTTCCCTTACCACCCAAAGTGGTTTGGGGATCGTTTTGCTTCGAACTTTTACAATTTGAAAACCCTTAACAATGAGGTTTCTTTCGCCGTTTCGGCGACGCTCATTTATTTTCACTTTTGCAGCTCGTCTCTTAATACGATCAGCTAGGCTGAGATCCTCCCGAACATATATTCCGGATCCAATCAGTTTGCGTGAGTTACCTAAAATCAGGTTCCTTTCTTCAACTGTGGCAAATGTTACCTTCAAGAGGCGGTTTTTCTGAGGGCTTTCAGAATCCACCTTTCGTCCTATTCTATAAAGCTTACAAATGCTAACTCCTGAAACTGTATCTGGGAGTAGTTTGCTTATTAAGGACTTAATGTGACTGAAGTCGTGTTCGAATCTAGCCTTTGGTTCCTTATCGGAAGATTCTCTTAACTTATGAAAAATGACTGACCTCTCAGAGAGATCTGTCTTGACACTCAGTGGAATTTTTGTTTCTGATACCGTCTCTTCCAATGACTTACTAACCATCTGCGGTTTGCCTACAGCTTTTTTCTTCTCATCTCTCTTTCTCCGTGCTGGAGTCCATTTATCCTCACTCAGGACAGCCACACTGGGACTATTTGGAACGATGACAGTGTTATCCGGGTCTTCACTTTCCACTAAAGGTGTATGATTTCCAATGTCAATATTAAGCGGCACTTCACTCCTCGTTAATGTTAACGGTGTTTTTACTTTTCCATCAATCACAATCGGGTGTTTAACGAGTCCGGTAGCAGCACTTACTACACTGACACATTCTTCACTGTCAGTGCTCGTGGTGTCAGGACAACCGCCATCGTTTTTCTTACAGGCCAAAGCCAATAGGCTCATAGCCTCCTGGATTAATAACTCTTTATTTGTACAGCAAAACATGCAAAGCCAATGCGAGTTTGGCTTCGAGCATCTTTTGTATGCCGTAGGACTTGGACGGGTACACATCTTATGGTACCACTTTCTACATTCACCGCTCTGCATTCCTTCCTCAACGGGGAACAAGCAGTTCGGCTGTCCACATTTATAAGTCTTACTAACCATTGTAATTTGATTTAAAACTTTTAAAACCCGCTATGATCACAACGTGAACACGAGTATCAGTCAATGAGTAAGCAAGAAGGCACCACAAGACAAAGTTTAGAAAAAATCTCAAACTATGACCAAAGTACTTTTAGTTAAAGTAGACCAAGAATGCTTTCTGTTTCCACTAGTACACAAAGCAATGATAATCACAACTAGTACAAAAATCACTCCCCTTTTTGAAACGAGTGCGTTAAATTACTTTTTCAATCAGATTCGTACATAATAAAGTTTTAATAGAGTTTGATACTTAGAACCTATGTAAAGGTCAAGTGATGCTTGTTTAGTAATGTGAAAACATTAATTTAGTGTTTTAAATGTAACATACGATCATATACCTTTTAATATCACTCATTAAGTGATTTCCTACGTGATGCAATGTCAAATATAAATGTCTTAAATGTTTTTTCTAACGTTTACTTTAGTGACACTGTGTGAGCGACACACATGAGAAAGGTCATATTAAAGGTTATGTGAATTATTTATAAAATTAAAATCTTACGAAAAATTAAAGAGGATAGAAATCTACGTTCTTTTTAACGGTATTATATCAATATTATTATTATTATCAATATTAATATTGGACTGACACCAACCGACCAGCGACAAAAACTATAAGCCATACTCATTATTGACAAGAGTTTAAGCATCTAGTTGTCGATATTTGGCACTAAATTTTAACCGGCCTTTATCTGCATGTGAGTATCCTGTGAAGTAAACCTCCGTGTATTCATTTCGGTACAATTCATACAGAAAAGATAGATCTGCTTTGTTCTACTTTGTGAAACCACATACCCAAGTACTTATATTCCTTTTTAGTTTCACTGTTTATTGGGTTACATTACTTGAAATTCAAGATAACCGTGTCATTGTGTAAAGTATTTTGTTGTGTATCAGTTTTATCTTGAATTATCATGAATCCGTTTTTACTTCAAATTTACATATAGCTCAACAGTAGGGAGATATCAATAAATGTTCATCCGTGCATTTGTCTAATGATTAACAAATACGTACTATCCACTTAAGTTTCGTGGAATAAATATTAATCAAACGAAATTAGCCGATCTGTAAAGTATGCAAATGAGCATTTCAATAAAATATTATTGAGTAAAAAGTTTTTATTCATTTCTCAAATCAAGCTGCCATCATAAAGAGAAATAGTGACAACGATAGGGCATTGAGTAAGTGTTTTGTCCCATTTATGTACCTCTCAGTTATTCTTATGTCAGATCATCATCAAACAATAGTTAGCCATTAACCTCATAGATGATTACCATACATAACTCTGAAAAATTACTGTAATAAATAGATTCATTGTCATTCATTTTCTTCACAAATAGCTTAAACAGTATAGATTCATATATTGCTTTTCTAGTCTGTGAAAATTTAATATTCATAAAACACTCCAAAAGGTAATTCATCTATACAGAAATAAAAGTTTCGTATTTTTAAAGTCAAAAACTTCAACTTCTTACACTCGATATTGCCATTAAATCACAAGCATTTCAAAGAGAAATTAGATAATTGATAATTATCTAATTTAAGACTCATCCACGCTTCACAAGCTAGTAGCTCTCTAAACTCAACAATTAAAACAATAACATATTGACGTTTTTAGGCAAAAAGCACTGGGTTCGAATCTCTACGTAAAACGTAACACGACTGTTTAGGTGCATCCAGCTGACAAATCATAAATAAAATGAAGTGTTCATTTTGGATTTTACAATTAATCGCTATCCAGTATAAGTTCAAAGTGTAATTCTTTACAGTTTATATTTCAATTACAAGTCTAATATAAGTTGTAACAAGTTAAAGTATATTCATGATAAAGTCTATTCGTAACACCTGTTTCCCTTTGAATCAAACTGTTATTAAGATGATATAATTGATTTCTATCAGTTACAGTATTCATGAAGTCATGTTTATCTCATTATAAAATTTTTGATCAATATATATGTATAACAACAAAATATATTCATGATAATGTAATCTCTCTTAAAATACGAAATAGAATGAAACATTCACTTTATAAGATGTTTATAAGATAGACGTTTTTTGGTTGTTCAGATCGGATATTTTCTATTTCTCACATAATTTCATTGATTTCGTTTTTATTGGTTAAGAGTTTGCACTCTATCTATTCAATTAAATGAACTTTTTTAAAGTTTTACTCTACGGTGATTACAAATAAATAAATAAATAAAAATGAAGTACACAGAACATATTGATTTTACTTTAATAAAAAAGAAAGAAGATAAATTGAGAAACTGTATAAAAATTCACGAAATTAATGTTCAAAACTCAGTGTTGTAATTTGATTCACTATCTGAATCAGTACTTAATAGATTTGTTTCTATTGGTTATTTATGCATTGATAACACAAAGTGTAATGTGTAGTCGTTTTTTTTTTGTTTGTTTCACGAAAGCAACCAATTGTCTTATTTCATCTGTCCTGATTCGTTCTCAATAATCTAATGTTAGTATAGTATATAATTAGCTATTCATTGAAAATAAAAATGTGGTCACAGCTAATGTATCATCTATAGAAAGTTATTAAATAAATAGAAAATTCAAAATAAACAAATCTTCACCGATAAATCTCGTCTACTTCAAATAAAGATTCATGTTTTAAACTAGACCACAGTGATAAAATATCACCAAAGTGTGTTCTCTTCATTCTCTCGGTCTTTTGATAGGTTTTTGTATCAATATTTCTGTTGTACAAAACTAATTTGATATAACGTATAACTTATTTTATGGAATGCCGTCTACAAATAAAATTAAATCATGCGGACGTCGTAAACGACTACGTTATTTTGAATCAACTACTGATTTAATAGCACGGAAATTAATCACCTATGGTGAAGAATTCAATCATAATCAAGTACATACATTGTTATTATCACTTAAATCGCGTAAATCATTGGCACACTGTAAACTACGCTGTGAACCAGATGGGATACGATTAAAACGTGCTTCAAAATTTGGTCCACCACCTCCAAGAAAATTTTATCCATATAAAGATATTGAACGATATTATGTATTTGATAATGATCCTACAATACTTATATTAGGCTGTGTTGATCATGAACAACACAGTCGTTATTATGATTTTTTTAAATTACCTGAATCCCATTATAAAGATATTACAACACTTATTAATAAAGCTAGAAGTCATTCTGATTATATATTGAATGAAGATGATACAACTTTACCAACACCAGGTGTATATTCATCACATTCTAGTTTGAATGTATCCAATGAGCAACTTTCACAAAATAATATTTCTATTCAAGAAACTATAAATTTAAATCAGAATAATGAAGTATCTATTGATAACTTACAACAAACAAGTAATGACAATATAACTAATGCTAGTATTAATAATTTACAAATGAATGATAATTATTCACTAGAGATTCAACAAAATATAGATGATACCATACAAAAACAATCTATTGATAAAGATGATGTAATTATACATGATCATGATGAAAATCATCAAAATTTAGATGAACCTAAAGTAATCAAATGTGAATATGGACCATGTGATGAACCAATAGAAAATATTCAAATATTGGATTATATGAAAGTATCATCAACATCATCACAACCTAATAATCAGAACATGATCCAAGACGATAGTGATGATGACGCTAATGATGATGATGAGGATAATGATAAAAATAGTTTAAAAATAAAATTTAATGAATTAAAAGAAAAAGATAAAACATTTGCAAAATTGACTGAAAATATCAATGTTAATGATTTATCAGCTGTAGATTTTCGTTATGTTTCAACAAATCCTAATCAAGGTAATCGTATTGTTGATAATGGTGATATTTATATATTTATTGCACATTATAAAAGACCAGAAAATATAAGAAGTTTTAATAATTATAATGATTATATTGATAAAACTGAAACTGAACAACAAATAACTAATAAAGTATATAAGAAAAATCTTAGTACAGCGGATAAATCATTTTCTCTACGTTATATTTAAAATTATTTTGGTAAGAAAAAAAAGAACGAGAAGATGAAAAAGAAAAAGAAGAAAGAATCGTAAATCTATCATTCAAAAAAAATTCAAAAAAAAGAAAAAAAAGAAAGAAAACATAATTATTTTTGTCTTTCACATATCGATTTTAATCATTAAAACGCTTGTAGTAATAAGAACATGTAGGTTTTTTTTCTTTCCGTTTTTCATTTTGTTGCTTAAATTTATTTTACTCATAATATAAATGAAAGGCAACTAAGCGATTTCAATAAATATATGCTCATGTTTTATTTTTTCATTGATATGAAACAATCTACTATGTCAGTAATAGTATACATATTATAAACCGTTAAAACAATGAAATGAAATGTTATCAAGTATTTGAAATAATTATTTAGTTAATCTATTCAAAATAACTTTATGTACATCATCATTTCAATTATTGCATAAATTGTATTTGTTACTACGTTGTTTAAACAAATTAGCTGATATCATCATATTAGCTTATTATTATTACTACCATTGTTTCTTCTTTTATTTTAATTATATACTGATAATAATAATAATAACCATAATAATAATAATTGTCATCACATTGATCAAACATTTTAACTTAACTCTAGAAATATTTATTTTGATAATTTGAAGTAACTATCTTTGTTAATCGAATGTTAGAACGATACATTAAATAACAATCTATATCTATCTATCTATCTGTCTAACTAGATATATATATATATATAGACTAGAATTATGAAGTACTAATCAAAGCTTGTGAAAGATCATAAGTTATATAAATTTTTTATATTCACAACAACTAAATTCATCATTATAATACTGATCGTCAACAGTGAAAACTTAAAGAAATATTCTAGTGCCTAGTGGTTAAATGATTAACTGGATTTTTTTCATTTACCCCCTTAGTTTCTATATCTATATATACCAAAAAAATTTATTAATTTATTTATTCTAGCTCTGTTGTATTATTGGAACTTTTTCAATATGTTTACATCATTTGTTAGATATTCACTAATAAACATTAAATTCAAATACAATTTTTTCCAAGAATATTTCAAAGACGTTTTAATGAAAAAAATGTTATATTTAAGTTGTTTTTTTTTCAATTTTACAAATAGACAGGATATTATAATCTAGTAAACTATAAGATTAATAAATCGAAGGGGTGTTTTTGCTGTAGTCAAAACATCTATTTATAATGTATATATACATAAGCAAAGATGGATAGTGACTAGCAGTGGAATCCAGAACGCGCGTTTCGTTCTATTTGGGACTCGTCAGTTGGGTGTACCTGTATCTCAGAGTTGATGTTCACTCTGGGACTCGAACCCAGTATCATTCGCTTCAAACGCCATCGCATTATCTACTCAGCTACTGAGTCCTGATATCCACTTACTTGTGCGATAGGGCAAATTTAAATTCACTTGGTATTGCTTTGCTTGTATCTTCCCATTGAGTTTTTAAGACTGCAAATCATCAGTACGTTATTGGTATATATACTGTGCGTATGCCTCGATATTGCCTTAATTCACACGCTTTTATAAGCAAAGATGGATAGTGGCTAGCAGTGGAATTAAGGCAATATCGTGGTATACGCACAGTATGCACATATACCAATAACAGAGTGATCAATTGTAGTCTTAAAAACTCAATGGGAAGATACAAGCAAAACAATACCAAGTAGATATACATATATAATACATTTATAAGTTGAAACTCTAAATAGGAATCTCATGACATCATCAATTTGAAGGTGATCAATCATTGAAAACGGTCTGTTGGTTGGTTTTAACAGTAATATATTTAAACAATAATGAAGCATGTTTGTCAAAGATTTTATTGTTGAATTTCAAATGTTTTATTTATATTTTCATTTTGATTGGCCTAATTCAACTAAATTAAATGTTCTTTAAAGTTTTTTGTAGAAAGATTCAAACAGTGCAGAAATTACAATTCGCATTTTATAGATTGATTAGTGCACATAGAGTGTTGAATATGTGCTTTGTTAGCTATTTTCTAAATTGGGCAAAAAAAATAATGAAATAGGAATTTTCCTATTCACTTCACTTTATGTAATTCGGTCATTCACCGAATCGTTAGTGGTAAACAACATATAAAAAATAATTACTAAATATAAGTTAATACTGTCACATTAACGAAATACTTAACTGACTTAGTACTTGGTCTTGGTAACCGTGAATTGTATGACACAAATAAATCCAAAATAAATTGAAACAACACATGACTACACTACTTTCTATGTGATTTATCTACAGTCCGCTTTGTATAAGCTGAACTGTGTAGTATTTAAAACCAACAAACCAATAACTTACAGGGTAAACACAACATCATAAAAGAAAGTGTCTATAACCAACATATACAACGAAATGACTAATTTATAGAATAAATCCTACTTAGGAATTGATTATACGTCACAGACGATTGGGAAAGTTTAGTTTTCATGTTACTCGTACTTGTTCACCATATGAGGTACTTTTAGGACCATTACAGTTTTAACTTCAAAAAAAAAATAAATTCACTTGTATAACTGAAGAAAAGATTTGCAATTATTTTTTAGTAATTATTCTCTTCTTCATCGACGAAGTGTTTTTGTAACTAGAAAAGTATAACTGGCAAGGATGGAAAATTTTATTTACTTTTTATAAACCAACTCTGTTTTTTAAAAATAAAGTATACCAATACATTAACCACATTGGGGGGTGGCCCCCTAAGAAAACCACCTGCTTCGGTTTGGGCACCAGGGCAGTATCACAGCCCTCATACATATCAACTGATATCTGTGTGGTGCATATGTATTTGGTGCCTCCTTGTACCGATATCTATGTGCTAAAATAAATTTAAAAAAAACAATATTTCATAATAACAGAGCTTTACCACAAGTCCACTTAACTTGAGCCGAATAGGTGATGGTTTGATAATTTCTTAAATAATTCAGAATTTGAAGTTTGTTTGAGGTTGATATAAGCACATTCCTAAAGATCTACAATTCAAGACGAAAACACTGTCTACTACCTCAGTTTATTGGCCGATGTTAGTTTATAACTACAGCTATCGTCTTATACAAAATGTCGTGTAAAACTATTTTTACTGTGTAACAATATAGTTAAAAAAACTAATATACTAACTGTCAATTTTTCTCGATTAAAATGCTTACTAAATAAAGTCCTTACCTAACATGTTCATAACAAACAATTCGAGGAAGTAAGCGTGGTAAGCAAAATAACCTCCAATTTTCCAGTACACAAGCCCCCTTATTACGTCAAATATTCGTCACTTACTTAAGTGACTTCTATTTCAATGAATCAATGACTTCGTTAGTTATATGCTATAAAGCATTATACCTCAGGTTTGTATTGTTTGATTTGCGCATGGTAACAATGGGTTGTAGGAACTAAAGTTTGGAATCCACGTTCTTTACATTTACTGATGTGGCTGTAGTTCATTAAAAAGACCGAAAAATAAGTTAATAATGGTAGACATAATGCAAGCTTTTACTTCAGCGTTTCACAAAACTCATCATGATTTGTGTGTATTTTACTCAAAAAGAAATTGTCTCTGAGAAGTTAGCAAACTTTTGATTTTTTTGTAATAGTTTAAGTAAATCAATTAGTTTTAAACTTCAAAATATACCTGTAATTCAGGATGTTTTTACAAGTAACACTAAGAGATAACTTGGTATTAAATAATATGAATGAAACTTGATCTCAATCTAATATGAAATCTGCAAATGATGATTATTGTTATCTTAGATAAACAGTAAGTTACTGAATTATATTTTTCATTTTTTACGTAGATTTACATCATGCTCAGTTACACATTTAAATTCGCCTTCCAAATATTACACCAAAGCTAAATTAACTAAGTAATAGATCAATTGGATAATGTTAGCAGAATATAGATTGGATAAAAACACATTCCCGTTTTAATAATTGAGAATATTGTTTAAACAAATACGTGTATTCAGTAAATTCTCATCAGTCTATATAGTTTTAATCGAAAGTATTTGTCAGTATAAACCATAGAATGTAAGAGATTTGAACAAATGTTCTGTGCTTGAGTATATTGGATAGGAAATTTCGGATCGCTATACGAAGCTATGCTAAATAACAAAACATAACATAAACAATGAAAGTTTTACCAGCATTCTGTACATAATGATGAATATTGGTCTGAGTGAATTTTCAATATACGTAATTAATCTTTTCTCAAAGTGTGAGAAAGCAAATGTTTTGCTTATGTAACACTCTATATGTGAACAGTTAAGTATGTAACGAAGTGTCAAAATTCAGTAGCTTATAATCGCTAGCATATGTGATACAATACCGAATAGTCTCTCGTTTACAATCTTTTCTAAATTGATTTCTAAACACTTGCTCAATCTAATGTTTCCAGGTTATACCTCATGTGGAATTATAAGCATGCACTACTGTAAGGTCATAAACAATAGTCCAACAGCAATCTGATCACTTCCATTCCTCAGTGTTTCTTCAGGTAAAGTCATTTTGAGGTAATAAAGTAATTAAAACCACACTGTTCGCATTATCCCAAGAAATACTTCATTAGATAGTAAATTCCCTGTCTCTAAATGAATCACGGACCTCTGAAGTTCTTTTGTTGGTTGATCAAAAACGAATCATATAAACTGACCTAGAGAAACTTCTCCACGATTAGTCAACTTTTACTGCTGGATGAGTTCAACATTTGGATCACCAGTAAGTTTGAGTTTTATTAGTAAATTGTAAATAATGCATTGATAACCATTCGTTGTTTTTTTAATGATGTGGTAATGTTATTTTCATTATCGTTTTACCTACATCTAATCTAAAGATTGATTGAATTTAAGTTATTTCATAATCACCTCAAATAATCTGAAATCTCGTCTTCGTAAAAAATTCATTAGTATCTTCGTGATTGGTTTTTCAGACCCCAGTATAAAAGCATGACAAATACTACCAGTTGAGAGTTTC